GACCGCCCCTTCCACCAATTAACCACGAAAATTAGGCCGGTTATACCTGCTTAGGATGTAAACAACAATGGCTAGACTGCACTCCACTGGTGCACCGTTTCTTTTTTTTTGTTACTAATTTCTTCTTCGGTGGATTTCTGCTGCATCGCCGAGAGCTCCAAGTATATCTTTTCTCGTTTTTCGGTGTAATTACAGTAATTAACTGCAATCAGCTGACTCTTCGCGTGACAATCAAACGGGCACGAAGATCGGGAACGTGTTACGTCATGCACGAACGACAATTCCTTTTTGTCTCACCACTATTTACGGGAACTGAATATCAAAGATGTAATTAAAGGACCTGTATATATGTACACACATCCGAAAATAATAGAAACAATCAATTTCATCGAAATACTTTATATCAACGTGAGGAGCTTGCTTTAGTGTTGAGTTTAAAGGGCATACTTAGAAACATCGAGAGAGAGGCTCGTACCCGCATACGTGATAGAGGCCCGTAACTTGTATCCCAGTTGCAAATACATATGTATGTATTAGTTCTATATGTATATGTAAAATTCAACGCTTTATCCTTTAGCTTGCACGCCACGCGATACGTTCACGTGGAATCATAAATATTTATCCGGCAGGTAAGTATAAATTTTGCGCGTCAGTTCTACGTGCAGTTTTTTACCGCGATCAAATATAGTGGAGTTTAGCTCACCGTTGATCCATTTTTTGTTGAATTTTTTTAATGCCGAATGCAAATCGAAGAAGGACAATACTGGCTTCTGTGAATTCTATGAAGCTTTCACGAAACTGGCGAAATTGCTAAGAATAACTAGTGCTATGATAACAGTGGTCTTGTTTCAAAGCGCCGCGGCCGCGACGAGGGCAAACGGTTACTTTACCGGGACTCTGTTCCCTTATCTATCTGTTCACTTTTTTCTTTTGTACTGAGAAACAAGGTGCTTGACGTGGTCATGGCCGAACCACGGCTTCGAATTAATTGTGGGCCAGACGTCTGAAGAGGACGACCAAACGATATAGTAAATACATGAACTGTGAGAGATTCGTCGGCCAATTACTGGACTTTGGATTGCTCGCACTCCTAGGTCTATGGATTCCGAATTAGGAGGATGGTTTCCTCGAATTATCCAATTCAAATCCTTTCATCGTGGGACAGATGCACTCCTATACAAACCGGAACAGGCAGAGCTGGCAATTAAAGTAATTCGCTTAAGCGAACACTAGGATTTCTCCCCAATCGATTCCACGAAGTGTTAACCCTTCATCGGTCTTTCGTACCGAACTGTCTGTGTAGGTCTTGCGCCAGGATAAAGGATACGCTTCCTTCGACGCTTATGTAGGACATTTCCATTTCTATTGAACGGCACGAATGCATCGCTGCGGATAAGGGGCGATCTTTCGACGGTTTTCTGATCTAATGTCATTGATATTCATGATCTCGACTCTCAAACGATTCTTCATTTTTGCTTGCGTTCAACTGTACGGAAGGTAGATTCGAAATTATTTAGGTCGCTGTTATGTTATTTAATGCACGCTGAAGAATAATGACGTCTGGCATTCGTATTAGTTATTGTGCCTTTTAGTTATTCATTCATATAATAAATTATAAACTACTACGAAAAGTATTAAATCATACTTTAGTAATTTTAATTGTATTGTTTCCTTAACTAAAAATCGTTAAATGATATTGACAAGCACAGTAACTGATATAAATATCCTATCAGTGGAATAATGAAGTTCGGGTCGATGAGAACGTACTAGTTGTGAATAGTTAGTATGCGTATCTCTTCCATCGACAAAAATATGTGTTCCAGGGCTAAATATGATATGTGTGGGCATTACACAGAGTTACGTAACGATCGTCCGTCCGCATGATATTTCGAATCGTATACCTTTTTATTGCACCTTGTTGTTTTGATCAGAACTTCTTTACGGCTTAGAATTACGTGGTCACTGATTGATGATGGAACTTCACCGACAGTTCTGGATTGATTTATCTTCATCAAAAAAGAATAGGGAAAGCAGAAAAACATTCACGAGGATTTTCAAGAACAATCGTTTATTGATTTTTATGCAAGTTCAATTGTCTTAAGTGTCATATCTATTTTTACAGACTCCACCATTCCTTCGATATTTTACATATTTATTCATATTATATCTATTTTGTGCAATTCTGCACTTCTAAATATTTTATGAATGCATAGACACCCGCAATCTATCGATCATACTCAGGCATCTTCTGTACTTCCTTTTACAATTCAATTTCCGTCTTCGAATAATATTTCACAGGACTCCTGTACGTGATTCTTTGATTCTCCATGTCAATTTTAGGCATTTTATTTTCTTATCACATATCAATATCGGTGTACATGAATTTTAAACAGGAATAAGTAGAGTCGATTTCTTTACTTCGGGTAAAAGGTGTGCCAAACTTTTTAATTGTTTATTTCTTCACGATTTCGCTCCCTTAACGTCTTGTCAATTTGATACACGAGGAATAGATTTAATTGAGAAAATGATAAACAGAGGAGAGCTAAAATTGCAATTGATCCATCTAGTAACCAACCAAAAAAAGCAAAAACCCAAAAGAGTTCTTGCGCCATATCGGTTGGCTAGAGCACAGTGGCATGCACAGGCGAACGTAATATCGAAAACTATCCGCGGGACTCTTCCAAGCGTATTTTGTGCCCCTTTCAATTCGCGCATCGGCCGAACCGTTATTCGTCTGTTCGTAAAAAATCAACGTGTCTATGTGTCTGCATCTCGTGACCCATAAAATCGTTCGCCACCCTTCGCAAAATTTCGATCTGTGGGTACGCTGTATTTTCTAACATCACCCATTTAAATCATAAAAATTACAATCAAAGATCCTCATATTCAAGTTATTCCTCTAGCCCTGTATGTATTTTAAACAGGGAAATTATAATTCAGATATAAATGCATAGCAGATGTAGATACCCAGAGATTGGCTGAGCAAACGCGATTAAAGTTTGAAACTCAACCCTTGAATTGTAAATTTATGTCCGGAATAGTTTACGTAATTCACGTACATTATTTCATACTATTTATAATACAATGTATTTCAACGAATCATCTATCAAAATTATTGTGTTAATCCTAATTTAGGAACTTTCCTAGATTATTTTAAGAATTATCACTCACAAAAAATGAATCATCTTTACAATTCGAAGGTTAATTTAACAAAGATAAAGTAGAAACATTACATTAAATTCGATAAAAAAACTGTACAACCTCGATAAGTTTTACAAATGTGCACAAGAGGGATGAAGATCAAAGTTTGAAACGCCGCAAAACGCGCCTATAGCCGCATCCGCAGGAAGGTTAGCAGCGTCGCGACGTTGGCTCGACACAGCGGCGCCGGCGAACGCGAACGGGCTTCGACTGAAGGGGGCGAAGTAACGGGGGCGAGTGAGACGCACGATCAACTCGCGCCCTACCCGTTGCCGTTGCAACCACCCCGTCAAAAGAGGGTTGGACCGTCGCCGTCATAGTCGCCGAGGTAAGAAGAAAAACGAGAAAATCACGCGCGCACACGCGCCGCCGAATGCCGACGGTAGCCGGGATAAGGCGGTAGAAATTTTACGCAAATATGTTCTGCGAGAACTCGCTTTCTTCTTCTATCGCATCTAACCGGAAGGAATATCGACAGATACGAGCTTTGACCGACGGCCGTTATCGTTATTTCTATTATACACTCTTCTCCCGATCACTTCTGTCAATTTTCAGGATTTTACATTGGCAGATAAATCTCTTGACGAACCGATCACTTCTGCATCGCCATTTTATATAACTATCAAATTGATTTCATGAATTTCATTGGCACATATGTTTTATCAGTTGCTATATACATACATTCGGAAATGATTTCGTTATTTCAGATGTATTACAGATTATTGAAGATATATTATTATAATAGAAAAAGAATTAAAAAACAAGTACAATACAGTAGATTACAACTAAGGTCTACTTGTACATTACAAGCCTGGGGAACAAATTTTGTAAAGAAAACGCAGAAAACAATAGGTAAGAATATACCAAAAACAAGACTGGTGGCGGGAAATGAAAAGTACTTAGGAAAACGGAGAGGAAAATGGAATAGCTTGTTTGTGCGGGTGAAGAGATGAAAGAAGAAATAATCGCGCGAAGGAGGAATTCAGAAAGGAAGATTGCGCGTGCGAAGGGATGGACGAAATGGAAAAGAAAAAGAGAAAGAGAGAGAGGATTGCCCTGAACGATTGATATTCCTTCTCGATTGAAGAGAATAGAAGAGAAGAAACACGCAATGGGAAAGAAAATGAGAACAATTGAACACGAAGTTAAATCGTATAGAAGAATATTAACGAAAATAATCGAATAGCAAAAAAGAATGAAAAAGACCACTAAAAATGACTGTACCGTGCATAGCGCAGAGCGAGAGAAGACTGACATGAGTTGGATAGAGAAAGAGAGGAATGATTTATGCGGTGCTCGCAAGATAGTTAAATAAATTTATTGAATTAAATGTGTAGCCTGCGTGTTCAGGGAAGTCGAAGTCCAATTGTAAGGTGTAATGAAGCCGATCGTGAAGGAAACGAAGAAGATGGAAAAAGGGGGAAATCCAGCAGGAATGACTATGTCGACTCTGACTATGCGAGGAGGACAGAGCTAGAGAGAGAGAAGGAGGAAGGAAAGGGAGAGGAGAACAGGGAGTAACGTTGCGGACTATCGACCCGATCTGGTCGGGGCGCCTGCGCTTTGGCAACCCCTTCTACCGTCGAGACGTCTTGCCGGCGACGCGGCGCTCTACGCAACGTCGTCGGTGCGATCGGTGCGACGGTGGGACCAGTGCCTCTCACGATTCCGTTCTCGCTCTGCCCTCCGTCTCGTCATTCCGTTCGTATAACGCGTCCGAGTGTTAACCATCGTCGCATTACAGTACATACATACGTTAAATAGATATACATATATGTATATATACATATATACATATATACACGCACGAACACACGCATAGATACATACACGCGTACACATATATACGTATCTTTCCCCTCCTCTCTTTCTCTCTCTCTCTCTCTAATTTTTATTTCTCCTCCGATGGTCGACTGGATTTTCAACCGATCGCAAAGCATTTCGCCGGTTGCTCTATCGAAGAGAAATATTACACCGGATAGAAGAGTGCACAGGCGAATATCGCATGTACATATAACACATATATAGAGAGAGGGGAAGAACCGAAAGTCATACACCGGTACGTGGTCTAACCGAACGAGTTACACTCTTCAATTGTAGTTTTGTCTTTCCGTGTGCGGCGTGTATTCGCGTTGAATCAAACGGGCAAATCCTGTTACATATTCCACACCAAGGCCGTCTCTCTTTTGCTCTCGTTACACGACGGGATACACGCGCGCGCACGTTACAAGTACGTGAGCACGCACGCGAAAAGATTGCTTCCGGATGCGGTGAATTTCCAATGACCACGTCGGAGAAGATCGACGATCGAAAAGCGCCGGAACGCTGCTACAGTTTGATACTTTTTAACAGAAATCATATCCTGAGAGGAAGAGAAAGAGAGAGTGGTGAAAGTTTTGGAAGAAAAAGAAAGAACAGGGAATACGTTGGTCGACGGGAAGGAAGCGGAAAATCCTAACGACGGAGACGATGGAGTGGTAGGCCTCGGACACGGCCCACCCCTTCTTTCTTGCTTCCCGGTTTCTCCTATTGTCTATTCCTTCTTTCGTTCTCGATTTTGTTCGAACAACTTAATTTCACCGGTACGTACCGGTTGCACTAATCAACGATACGTACGACGACAGTTGGATAGAGTTACACGCGATTCCCTTCTTCTGTCACGCCATTCAATTCCTTCCTTTTTTAATTCAATTACGTATGTGAAACCATTCGCTTCGAACGACCTTTTAAGACCGATATTTGCTGCCAATCTTACTTACGTTCTTTTTTCAGTTTAATTATCATAAATGATCCCTCTGTGCTAGGCGCCAGTAAGACTAGGCTATCAGATTGTGTAACAAGTTTGTTCCCTAAAAGAGTAGCTACCAAATGCTAATTGTTTTTATGTAAAATGTGCTCCGACATATGATCGTCTGTATAAAATTGGTCACGGGTTTAAGTAGCACTTAAATTCGCAATAACTTATTAAAAAAAGGAATAAACTTCGCAATCTACTGGAATAAAGTGAGATCTAATAGTTTAACACCTGAAACATTATTGATTGGACAGACGATGTAGACAATTAATGTTCAGTTCGATTGTGATTTTACTTTAACTAGCCCTAGTGCAGAAGGGTTAAAGTTTCGTTAAAGTCTTAACACATACGCATGTTCAATCCCTTTCTTCTTCTCTGCTCATTTCCATCTGTCTGGATACTCATTAACGTTTAATTCTCCTCTCTCTTTCTTTCTCGTTCTTTCGTTACTCCGTTCCACGTTCAACGCGTTCACACATCTATTCCCTATTATCTTCGTGCACGCACATTTATATTCTCACGCACGTATACACACGTATCTCTAACGCATACAGAAAGAGACGGGAATCATAAGTGCCGGACGTCCGACCACTGTTCGCCTTGAATTCTACTTACACCTCGAAGGTGGCAAGAAAGAGTAAAGAAGGTGTAAAATCGACGGGAGAAAGAAGAAGCGGTAGTGATCGAAGGAGGAGGTGGTGGTAGAAGGTAGTTGTGGTTCGAGAGAAGTAAAGGAAAGAGAAGGAAGTGAAGCAAGTGTAGCCGCATTATCGTCGCCGAGGAGCCACGTCCTCGACAGGAGGAGATCAAACCTGGCCTGACGACCATTTCCGTCGTCGAAACGGCCCCGTCGCTCGCAAAGCGACTGTGTGTCACTACTGTTCCACTGCCCTACACACCGCGGCCTCATGATTGGTTCATTCTGGAACCTCTGCCGTGCGTGCCCTTCAATGCCGATTGACAAGGTGAGACAGATATCCCCCTGGCATTTCGTCATTCATTTCATCAACTTTCAGACAACTTCTTTGAGTTGTCATTCAACTGCAGGTCGCTGCATGTAGTTTAAAACTACGCAGGGTACATGTTAGGCAGTAAAACCCATAATTTTCTAAGTCACTTTTCGACCAACTTCAGTGCTTTCTTGAACATCAAATGCTAATATGTTCAGAGAAAACATGAAGTGAGTGCTAATCCATGTCCCTTGCAAATTGATAATAGCACAATGTAGGCATGTCAATAGAACAGTTGCACCATTTCCGGATCCTTGTGACTTACATCTCTATGACTTAAACTGCCTCATGTAATAGTGTCGAGACTTCTGGGTTGTAAAGTCGGAAAAGCGTAATAGCGTCAGACAAATTAATGTGGATCGATTGACTGATATCTTAACGTCAAAACGAAGTACCTCGAGACAAAACAAGGAAATTATAAGATCATGTGTCTTCGCAATGTATTTGTATTGTTCCTAAATGTCATCGACGTTATACTATTTCTCTATTAGAATGCGAAACTGTTTTGAGATAAGAAAAGGAAATCCCTGCTGGAAGCGTTTCCGATAGCATCTATAAATGGTATTGATGTACAACAGAGCAAAGTTTGGCTGCTTCTCCCCCGAGAACGTTCCCGATAATGCCACTGCGATGCTACTTTCTCTGGTAGATTTGTAGAATATATCTCCCTGGATCCAAGTAGCTGAATAATCTAGTCATGAAAGAATATGTAAGTCGTCAAGGGTATTACCGATGAAAATATTCAATCGCGCGACAGAGAAAGAGAGAATATCGTTAAGAAGTACAAGGTTGAGTTTTCCTCGTGATCGGCCGGAAAGTAAGTGCTCCTCTTCTTTCGTTCGATTCTCACGAAATTCAGATTCTCGCCAAGCTGTATAGGTTTATCTCTGGGACGACTGATATCTGTATATCGGAATCTCAATGTAAGTACGGCAGAGATTTAGCCGAGCGGGATGGATCCGGCATGGGGCGGCGTTGCTTGATGAGAGGGAGAGGGAAAAGTTTGACTAGCACTCGAGCCTGACAATCTATTGTCTTCCTAATCGAGACAGTCTAAGGCTCCTAGACGATTTACTTTTTACTCTAACTCGATCCTTAAAATACACAGAATCATTTGCAATGCAAATGAGTATTTACCGGGTTACCATCGTTGTCGTCATCGACACGAATAGATCACGTTCTTGATGCATTTGCAGTAAAGTTTGACAAGATATAAAGAATGCATGTAACATGCAAGAATATGCATGATGTGCACACATAAGTGTATATAATAATTTTTGGAAGAATAAAAATATTTTGATTTATATTTCATTTTTCAAATTGATATGAGTGAAGTTTTGTTTCGCATGAAAATACGTAGTCTAGTCATAAAATATCGAACAGGAAAGTAAGCAGTAAACCTCTCGTGCATCATCGATTCGTCCATACTCGTCTCACTGTTTTCTACCATTGCTCTACTAGACTGGTCAATTTTATCTATTAATCTTTCCATCGTTTCGTCGAGGTTCTACGCGGTATTTCCGTCCATGGAACGTGTCGCTTTACAGCGTCATCGATCGAAAAAGACGAACTTCCCTTGTTCGCCCACACCCGAGACAACACGTGTTTCCGCAACACGGTACGCGTTATCATTCTCGATAGTCCCGGCGTTATTGGTTGATCGTCGCCAGTCTCGTTACGGCTATAGGTTGTTTCAGAAGCATCAGTGTTTATCCTACAAACTTGAACAGGTTCCACGACTGTCGCACAACCTTTGATGTGCTTAAAATAATAAAGCTATTTAATCATTTGATAGTATAATACATTATTTGAATGAAATACATGATTCTGGTGTGTTTAGGGAAAACAATCTTGCACGTTTCTGCCTAATACTTGCACGCTAGACAGGCCCGATTTCTCTACATATCCAAGTTTCTTGGTTGTTGCTGTTGATGGAACCGACCGGATGCTTGGAAATCGCGAATGGACATTCGATAAGTAATACGTATTATCGGTCGAAGGAACCAATCATCCGCGCGCACAATGTTAGGGAGTCGGACAATACAAAGTTGGACATTGATCAATGTTGGATGAGCCTGCACGGATATTATTTCGCGAATCTCCCTCGTTCCTTCTTAAATTCCGCAATATCGTTCGATTACTAATAACGATAATGCCTCGAATTAAGTACTCGTTTAATTACCGTCTCAAGTTCGCTTAAATTCGAACGATATAGTGGACATTTCTGTCTACAATTTTGTCAGAAGCTTTTGCTGGTATCGTTAAAGGTAAAAATCTGGCATCATTAAACTATATACATTGCGTAAATATCAAGTTTCAATATATGCAATCTATAATATATGGAAATACAGGCTGTATTAAATCTATTTACTAAGTTAGTTATATGTTAATCTGATTGGATATGAAACAGGGTACAAAACATGGGAATTTATCACTAGCTCTATAGCTGATTAAAAATATATCTTTCATAAAAATCCTTGGTTCACCAGTTACCATGCCAATTACACAAAATCGAATCTTGTACTGCACGGATCGTTTACGGCTAAAAGCAGGCGTGGTTTCTTACTTCGTTACGTCGAGGTTCTCCGACTTTTCAGAATTTCTCTTTTATTATCCTTAGCGGGCAATAAAAATGACAATCCCTCGCGATACTACGTGACGTGGATACTCGACCTTCACGCTTCCTAGATTAAATCGGACACGGAAGGGTAGAACAACTGTTCGCAGTGCGGTTTACTTCAAGACACGGCTCATAAATTTCTAAATCGAGGAACCGGCGCGGCGTGGTATTCTTTGACTTCTATTCGAGTCGCTTATCGTGTTCCTTTATAAGAACAAGCACCGGGTAATCAGGAAATATAATTTTTATTGCATTAGCTACTTGTGTTTAGTCTTTCATTAGTTGAAGCGATCACTCATTATAAATTTTAGTGTATCGTGAATGATTACTATTACAATTGAGCTGTGCCAGTAGACATATCATTTTATAGGCTTGTGGCTTACATTTGACTTTAAAACTTAAAATTGAATTTAGTATTCTATTCATGAATATTGAATGATCCTTTTACCGGCCACCACGGAATGATCTAATAAGAGTCGAGGGACAGATCAATTTAATTAAAATTGAAAAAAGTAGGGAATGGAAGGGAGAAGACGGTGAAGTGATTCCACCGACGCGACGATCCCTGATTGTATGACCTGAGGCGAAGTCATTGTCGATCTTTATACATATATACTTTCCCTTCTTAATCATCGGCAGCCGCTATCCTTCTTCCGAATGCAACAAGTATATTCTTAATTAAGGTGCATTTTTTAATTTATTTAAATCTCTTTCGCGATGGAAGAAAACAGGGATGATTAATGGCCCATAAACGAGAAGCGTGTTCCATAATTATACATCTCATTAGATTATAATCGGTTGCGAGAATAAGTAGACAAGCCGCCAGTATCTCTTATGAATGGTTTTCATCCGGAAATTAATCCTTATAATCCAAGCTTGTCGAGTAGCACTTCATTCAATAATTTGTACCAATATATCTCTTTCATTAATATTGTATTGAATTAATAAGTTTCTTCATTTTTTACATTTCTGAATGATTAAAGAAACGAAAACTGACATATTAAAAATGTTTACTCAAGAGTTTTCCGCATGAGTATTTGTAATTCCATGTATCATTAATAGATTTTTATGTAGACTAAGATTTTTGTACTTAGCAATCATATAGAAAGGAATTTCTTTTGCCCTTACAAAGTTATTTATACATTAATTTAAGTCCAGTCTCTCAAATGACAAATCATTTTATAAGACTTTTTAGAAACAGTAAATATTACATTTCTTATGACGACAGATCTTATTAGTATACGTCTC